CCATTTGTATATCTTCTTTGGAAAAAATCTATTGAAATCCTTTGCCCACTTTTAAATTGAGTTACTTACCTTTTTTATTGTTGAGTTGTAAGAGTACATTTCTAGAGACTAGACCTATATCAGATATATTAATATGATTTGCAAATATTTTCGCCTAGTCTGCGGGTTGTCTTTTTACTTCATTGATGGTGCTATTTGCAGCACTCAAATTTTAAATTTTGATGAAGTACTATTTATGTATATTTTCTTTGGTTGCTTATGCTTTTGATGTCATCTGAGAAACTGTTGCCTGCCTAACCTAAGTTCACAAAGATTTATGCCTGTCTTTCCTTCCAAGAGTTTTATAGTTTCAGCTCTTACAGTTAGATCATTGATCTGTTGTGAGTTAATTTTTATAAATGATATGAGGTAGAACTCCAACTTCATCCTTTTGCATGTGGATATTCAGTTGTCCAAGCACCATTTGTTGAAAAGAGTATTCTTTCTCCATCGAATGGTCTTGGAACCCTTGTTGAAAATCAGTTGACCATAGATATATATAGGTTTATTTTTAAAGTTTTGTCCTAAGTTTGACTCTTAGTTTAGCCACTTAGAAACAAGTGTGACCTTGTACAGGTTATTTTTTTTAATTAATTTTTTTTTTTTTTTTTTTTTTTTTTGAGACGGAGCCTTGCTCTGTCACCCGGCTGGAGTGCAATGACACGATCTCGGCTCAAGCAACCCCTGCCTCCTGGGTCCAAGGGATTCCCTTGCCTCAGCCTTCCGAATAGCTGGGACTACAGGCGCACGCCACTACGCCCTGCTAATTTTTTGTATTTCAGTAGAAATGGGGTTTCACCATGTTGGCCAGGATGGTCTCGATCTCCTGACCTTGTGATCCGCCTGCCTCGGCCCTCAAAGTACTGGGATTATAGGCGTGAGCCACGGCACCCAGCCTACGTTTTTGTTTTTTTGTTTTTTTTTTAAAATAATGATAGTAGCTACCTTTTAGAGAGTTGTTGTGAAAAGTAAATGAGACAATGCACATAAAGGGTATTGTTAAAGTTCTTAGATAACCAGAAAGGTAGGGAAAATTGGGGATAATTGAAAGGATTCTAAAATATTAGGAGTACCCAGAAAAAAAAGCCTCATAAATGAAAGATGATTGAACATATCTGAAGAAGTTGATAAAAGTATTCGGTTCCCGAAAATTGGCTAAAACAGTTAATATATGATAATCAAAAATCAAACATTTGAAACAGTGTAGAAAAGCTGAAATAAGCAAGAGGCAGTAACTATCTTATAATATTCTTTACAGAGCTGAAATAAGGTAGGTTATTTTAGAGTACTAATGATTGGCTTTTTTTCTTTCAAAGACTCTTGAGAATCTTTTGAAAGCTATGGGCAATCCTCTCCCCAGGAAAAATGCATATATGACATACAAACCACATTCTGCAAACAGTTCTAGGAAGTTCAGAAGTCCCCAGTTAATAAATCCTATTTTGACCTTACCCAAAGCAATCCTGACCCATAGTATGCTTTCCCAAGCTTAATTTCATGGTGAGGTTCAAGTGTCACACTGACTTGGAAACAAATTTTAGATTTCCAAGCAAAATTTAAGAGCTTTTCCTATGTACAGGACAATTTATATGGCACCCTCTTAAGCCTTAGGAAAGCTGTGGTACTCCAATTGTTTTTACATAGGTTTCAACACACATAGACATGGCTTTCAGCAATACTTCTGACCCACCCAGGTAGCTTCCAACACAGACATTGAGGAATGCAGGCATAGAGTTCTAGAAGACATAGTAATAGAAGTGCAGTGTGAGGTGGAGATGGGCCTAGAAGACAGAGATATGATTCTGGAAGGGACTCAGAATGAAACAGGCAGATTCAGAGAAAGTCAGAGAGACAGAGAGAGATAAAAATAGAAGTAGAAGCATGCTGTTTAAAAACTGTCTTGTAAATAGCCAAGATAAACCTCAGTGAAGGAGGTGAGCTGATTGAAATAAAGGTGTAGGGAAAGAGCACAGGCGTTGGCATTACACTGACCTGTGCTCTGGGTATGTATATTCTTGGTTAATTTATTTAATGACTCTAAGCCCCAGTTTCCTAACTGTAAGGTGGATACAGTAATAGTAACTTCCTCACAAGTTTCCTGAAAGAATTAGTGAAATAATGTGTAAAGTGCTTAACATAGTACTCAGAATACAGGAGATGCTCAACGAATGCTAGGCCCCTTCTTACTCCTAGTTTAAGTGATACTTCATTAACAATTATTGAATACAGTTTGTGTGAAGCACAAACTTGTGCTGTGAATGAAAATATAAAATAGTTGATACCCTCAAGGAGAAGGAAGAGTTAGCTGGAGATACAGCTATGTAAGTGAAATAAAGCAGAATGTTCTGGAAGCCACCAGTGGTTGAGGTGATACAAACATGTCTATGAGAGATCTCTTAGATTTCCAGGCTTAAATGGTGATATTCACGAGACAGGGAAAATCAGAAGAGGAGCAGGTGTTTTTTGTTTGTTTTGTTTTGTGGAGGTGAGGAGGAGCACAACAAGTTCATTTATAGACATGTTGAGTTTGAGAATCTGAGTCATATATCAAATGGAGCTCTCTAAGGCAATATTCCTGCTGTCAGTGGAAGTTGGAATCTTCATCTCTCAAAAGTCTCTTCGAATTCTAAGATTCAATGATGTATGCACATTTTAATTGTTTACTTTTTCATCTGTGTAGGTGAACATTGATAGATGTTATAAGCTACAAAATACTGGCCAACAACTTTCAAGCACCTGTAAATTCTAAAAGAAAAATGCCATGTTTCACTTTAAAAAAAGTGTCTGTACAAACATCTGAACCTACTAAACCAACTGAGAGTGACTGATTTACAAAAAGATTCTTCACTTTTATAATGCCATTTCATATAGATTTTCATTAAATAAGTAGTTAGTTCAGTGCATTTAAAAGGTTTGATTTAGAAACAGCTTTTAGGTGTACATCTATTGTACTTAGGCATAAAGTATAATTGTACTCAGTATTTATGTATCCTGTGAAGTATACAGATATGACTAACAAATGACAATATCTGAACAAATACCAATGGCAGCGTGAAATTTTCAAGCCATGATGAGAGTCTCCAATGATGACGAGATGATGAACAAAAGCTACTCAAAAGCAAACAATGCTTTTCTTGGGCTCAGCGCTGTGGCTCACTCCTGTATTCCCAGCACTTTGAGAGGCTGTGGTGGGCGGATCGCTTGAGCCCAGGAGTTCAAGATCAGCCTGAGCAACACGGCAAAACCACGTCTCTACAAAAAATATAAATAAAAATTAGCTGGACTTGGTGGCATACACCTGGAGTTCCAGGAAAGGAGGATCGCTTGAGCCCAGGAGGCAGACGTTGCAGGTAGCCAAGATTGTACCACTGCACTCCACTCTGAATGACAGAGGGACATTTTGTCTAAAAACAACAACAACAACAACAACAACAACAAAGCCCTTTTTCTTTCCTATACATAGGATTAACATTTTCAGTCAATAAGATATGTTTTATATTTTTCCTTAGTTAAAGCCAACTTAGAATATTTATGTGTGTGTATTTTAATTAATGGAAGACTCAAGGCAATTAAGAATTAGGTACCTGTGTGTTGAGCACAGAAATTCCTGTGGAAAAATAGATAGATTTACCAAGAGGTTGGTTTCTTGTCAGTTCGGTGGCTTTTTTTTTTTTTTTTTCTGATGCAGTCTTGCTCTGTCACCCAGGCTAGAGTGCAGTGGCATGATCTCAGCTCACTGTAACCTCCGCCTCCCGGGTTCAAGTGATTCTTCTGCCTCAGCCTCCCGAGTAGCTGGGACTACAGACAAGCGCCACCATGCCCAGCTAATTTTTGTAATTTTAGTAGAGACGGGGTTTCACCATATTGGCCAAGATGGTCTGGACCTCCTGACCTCATAATCCACCCACCTTAGGCTCCCAAAGTGCTGGGATTACAGGCGTGAGCCACCGTTCCCGGCCAGGTGACCTCTTTTACTCAGTGATGCTCACTTAATTGAAGGTTACCAGATCTGAAAATTTCTGGCACTTTGCTAATTTCTATCTAGATATTGATTTGCATCCCGTTATGTTTTATAAAGTATGAAAAGACAAATGGGAGGTGATCTTCATAGCAGGCTTGTGCTAGTTCAGCAGGTGTTTAGTAATAAAACCAAATTGAAGCCACAAGGCAATATGACTTTATTATTGATCAGCAATGATTACTGAGTAAGTTGAAAAGTTTGAAATCATTCCCCATTCAGTTTGATGAAATGAAGGGGTTTCTGAAGGTGAGGGAAGAAGATGAAAGTGAAAACTATCATCTTTTGTCTCAACTAACTCAGTTTACTAGGAATGGGATGGAACAGAAATTTCCATGTGTGATAATAAGAAGTAATTTAAGTTCACACTCTGAGGAAAAATTTATTATCCTGCACCAAGAGCTACATTTTTCTAAAGCTTTCTCTTTTTTATGCAGACTCTCAGAATGGAATCATTTCAGGAAGTACAGAGTTACTTTAAAATATGGCATTGTTTTCCTTACACTGGATGTCACATAGAAGCAGCCCTACAGTTTACCTTAAAGTGAAATAGAGAACAATACTGGAGAATAGAGATTGGGAATTTTGCAGGGTCTCAGCCTCATCTTAGTCTGGGAAAAGAAATGTCAGTGGAGAATATGTGAGAGAATGATCCATTCAAATATTGTAAGCTGGAATAGTAATGTTAATCAGTCTATCAGGATTCAGAGGTAGCCATTTGGTTTTGTCTCTTTGTGCATGAAAATAAACATAGGCGTTTGTCTAAAACAAGGTTTGAAGGGGGGGGGAAAGTCTTCCTGATTAATTCCCAAACTGCTTTTCTATTGCTTAAGCATCCCTGGGGAATCCAGCACGTAAACGCGCCCATTGGTTAGTGTATAATTATGTTATATCCGTTTTCCTTTGGAAATGCTTAATGACTCTTGCTTTGTATTCCTTGCAGGTGAAAGCCCAGCCTCCGTGGTTCTTAATGCCTCAGGAGGATTATTTTCACTAAAGATGGAAACACTGGAGTCTGAATTGACCTGTCCAATCTGCCTAGAGTTGTTTGAAGACCCACTTCTGCTCCCTTGTGCTCACAGCCTCTGCTTCAGCTGTGCCCATCGCATTTTGGTCTCAAGCTGCAGCTCTGGTGAATCCATTGAACCCATTACTGCTTTCCAGTGTCCTACCTGCAGGTATGTTATCTCGCTGAACCACCGGGGCCTGGATGGCCTCAAGAGGAATGTGACTCTGCAGAACATTATTGATCGCTTCCAGAAGGCTTCAGTCAGTGGGCCCAATTCCCCTAGTGAGAGCCGCCGGGAAAGGACTTACAGGCCCAACACCGCCATGTCTAGTGAGCGAATTGCTTGCCAATTCTGTGAGCAGGACCCGCCAAGGGATGCAGTAAAAACATGCATCACCTGTGAGGTCTCCTACTGTGACCGTTGCCTGCGGGCCACGCACCCGAACAAGAAACCTTTCACCAGCCATCGCCTGGTGGAACCAGTGCCAGACACACATCTTCGAGGGATCACCTGCCTGGACCACGAGAATGAGAAAGTGAACATGTACTGTGTATCCGATGACCAATTGATCTGTGCCTTATGCAAACTGGTGGGTCGTCACCGAGACCATCAGGTCGCATCCCTGAATGATCGATTTGAGAAACTTAAGGTAAGGGATCTGGGGAACATCTCTTACACAACTTTGTCTCATAATAGAGTTATGCAGTTAGCAAGTTCTCTAATAAAATGGGTGACTTTTCCTATATGACTAGTGAATTAACTTTAAGTTGTTTTCATGAGGAGTAACCTGCTCACCTGCAAGCTCTCCCTGGAGCCTATCTCATCTGTTGCATAAACATGCTTGCATTCATACACTTCTGGCTAACTTTTGGGGAGTCAGCTCATGGCCTGCAACACCAGTAGTTCATCCAGGGAAACAGCACCCTCTCTCCTCTGTCAGTGACATTATTGCTTATTATATATCTTTGCTATGATCTTTCCACCTCTTCTTTTAAGTATGTGAGTACTTGTGTAGGTGTACTACAATTAGCATATGTGCCGATTTGCATATGTGGGTATATGGTAATGGGAAGGCAGGGTGTGTCTCTGTGTAGGTGTGGGTGGGTGGAGGTGTCTGAGTGTATCTAGGTAGGTGAGAGATTTTTGTGGAGGACATTAGCGTATGTTTGTGTTTGTGTACTCAATGCACTAAAGAAACAGAAGTTTGGCATTGGCCATTACAAATTGCCATTAAGTGTTTAACACAGGGCTAATTCTAAGCCTGTCTTTAAAAACAAAACAAAACAAAACAAAGAACTGAAGAAATTTCAGTACACCACGAAATCGGGAGGGATAATTAAATGTCTGAACTAACAATTTAAACTGAAGGCAATAAATATTTAATCCACTATCAAATTTTGTGACAGTGCTCACTATTATGGGCTACAAACTGAAGCACTTGTTTATAGTTCCTGCCTTACAAGTTCCTAGTCATTTATGTGTGTTCAGTGGACAGGGTTTTCTGAAGTTGTTGTGTCATATAATATTTATGTACAAGTCTAAGTGCCCATTTAAAAAAGCCCTCCTACCTTACACTGATGATCCAGCAAATTGTTTTATTCCCATTGCTTGTCTGCTATGTGGTATAATTTCTCTTAAGAAGGGAGCTACTTAGCAGATATTCTAGAAAAATAAAATGTTTAAACGGGTAGTAAAATTACCACTCCAAATAGGACCTGAGTACATAAGCCAAGCTAGAAGAAAGACCCAGATAGGATAAAAGGAGAGTAAGAAGGGAATGGAAATTTTCCTCCTGCCATGCTGTGGATGAATTACTGTAACTTCTGTAAAAAGTATAATGTTGGTGAGAGTAGCAGTACTCAGAATAGGATATATTTGACCTGTAATGTGCTGCAAATAATATTGAGAGTAGTTACAGTGACTATGGTTTGTGCCTCTTTTGGTTATTATTTATATCTGATACGTATAAATGTGTACAAAATTCAATTTTTTTTATTTCACTCAAGGTTATACTCTCATTCATATCAAGGCTGCAGAGGGGAATAATCTTGTTGACTTCAGTTCTTAGACTCATAAGATGTTAGGCCTTTGACTTGGTCTAGTCGAAGCACTATACTTTTAAAGTTATGTAAACAGACCTTGATAGATTAAGTGACTTGGTCAAAATCAAAGAAATGATTAGTAATGGGAAAGCTAGAACTGGAACTCAGCCTCTAGATTGAGTTAACTATCCTTTGTATTGTAGCCGGCTGCCACTTTGTTTTGGATCTAAGTTTTCCCCATGAAATGTGATTTGAAGCTTAACTTTATGCTCCTGCAACTGTACATTTCATGGTCATAGATAAATGATTAATGACATCAAGGAAGGGACAGATTGTATAAACTTACAGCTGCATAATGGCAAAAGATAGGAGCGGGGTTATAGGAAGAGTGGGGGATGTGAAGAGGACAGAACTATCTCTGCCAAATATTTGCAGGTGTTGGGACTATAATAAGTCATTGGCCTTGAGAAATATTCCAAACAGAAAAATCTGTGCCCATATGCACTGTTGAGATAACAAAAAGACTGGCTAGTGTAAGCTTGTATTAAATAAAACTAGCTATTTGAAAATATCCGAAAACATGAAAACATTGGATGATTGATTAGATATTTGGCATCATGAAGCTATAGCCCTCATCTCCAGGGATGGATGGAACATGGACATATTTTACCAAAATACATTTTAGTCTGTGACTAATCAGTAATTTTTGGAGAAAGAAAGCCAGATTTTGAATAGTTCCCTTTTAATATTTTAGGAAATGTGCATAAAATTCTGATTATAAATTAAGTGGAAACTATTTTTGCTCATTTTTGGATGGAGAGTGGAAACATATGAATCATTCCCAACCGTGTGGTTCGTTATGTTGTCTGAAACATCTTGGACTTTGGGGAGGGTGAGAGAGGTACTGCTTGTGTGTGTGTGTTGTGGGGGTGGAGGGGTCACTTTGGTTTGGTGCCAAGTGTAAAAGAATATTAATTCTCCATGTTAAGCAGAGACGAAGTCTGACTTTTAGTGTCACATATACTCACTTCTTTGGGTTAATTTTAGATTGGAAAATCATTTAGGATTACCCCCTTAGTCTGCTTGATTCTTCCCCAAGGAGAAAGGGAGAAAGTTGGCTGGCAGGAGCTATGGGGGAGTCTGCCTGAGTATATTCCCCTCGCCCTGACCCTGGCCCTGAGAAAAGCACAGGAGTCCTGTAGGAGAAAGGGAAGAATGATAGAGCATAACTCTATCATTCTTCCCCTGTATCTAGGAGGTTGGCTTTCTAGCCAGTAGCTGATACAGTGTTTATTTTTACTTTTTGGTTCTGGAACTTCACTGTTGATATTTGTAACTACTTTTTATATACAAAACTCCCTGATTAGGATTAGTGGCTTCTAATATTTATTTGTTCAATAAAAAATAAACAAACCATTATGTTATAGATGAAAAGTCAGAATAACCAGAAACTAGCCTGTCTTTTTAACATGTACTCAAAGTGGATTAGAGGGCTTGGGGTACTTAGTTTAGTTTCATGATCTTACCTAGTTGTCCAGTCTACCAATAGGGTTGAGATGCAGGACACATGTCTTTCAGCAGGCTACCAGTAGTTCAATTAATTATTCAATTTTAAAGAATATTTTTATTCACGACCATTATTAGAGTAGTAAGTCCTATCAGAGTAATTATTTTCTCCATCACCTCTCACTTTTCACTCACTAGTCCCAATATATATCTTAGTTCATGATATATGGGGTGTTTCTATAAAACAGCTTCACATTTTAGAATTTTCATTATCACATGAGTTTCTAGCCTTATAAAAGATTGTTGTTATTGTTTTAATAAATTTTGACTTCATAAAAGAGGTCGAATTTCAGTGACTGTCTATTGCTGACAGACTTCAACTCAATATTATAAGTCCCGTACAACTTTTTTCTTGTGCTGCTCATGTATTTTCCCCTCTACTCCTCTAAAACATGCTACCTTCATCTACCCAGGCGAGTCTCCTAACTGCAAAACATGCCATTCTCTTTTCTGATTCTTAACTGTCACTAGTGTTCTTCTCTTGGCCTGTTTACAAATCCTATGTATTCTTTAATGCATAATTCAAACCCTATAAGACCACTCCAAAACATCACAGCTATGTCATAATCTCCTTTAGGTCAGAAATAATGTCTTTTATTTCTTTAGTATTCTCCTTAGCTTCTAGTACACATAGTATTTGATCAAGAAATCCACATGAATTCAGTTTTCATAATGGATTTGCAGGAAATATACCAGTGTCTATAGCTTGCTTTGGATCTCATCTTAGAAGATATAAATCTGTCTTGCCATTATATGTATCCTGAAAGTCTGAAAAAAGATCTCCTGTGAACTACTGACAATGTTCAAAACCAGAGTGCTAACAAAAGTATGGCATGTCCTTAATTTTAAGTGCCTATTCGTTTTGATCACTGGATTTTCCAACTGCCTAACACTATGGTGACATGTGCGTAAATCAGATGTGATTATTATAATTCTCTTTGAGAGTGATGTCTTCACATTTCCATGCCCACAGCCTGCCAAAAAGATAGCTGATGAAAACCAGGGGAATAGAGGAATTTCCTGAAAGGAATAAACAAGCACCTTTTCTTTTTCTCATTACATTTCCACAAATTCATTACTACAAATAATTCTTAAATGCAGTTACATTTACATATCAGGGATCTTGTTATAAAATATTACCTGGCACTGGAGTAAGCCTTTTATCATGGGAAAGTAAAACACACACACACTCTCTCTCTCTCTCTCTTTCTCTCTCTCTCTCTCTCTCTCTCTCAGCGAGACTGGGACAGAGAAAGCTAATGATTGCCAGACAAAGAGAAGGGAGATATGAGACTTGGAGGATGTTCAAAGGAAAGCCACAATGAGAGTTAAAAGGTTGGAAAATATAATATTCTAGAATCTTATCACAGTTGATTACTTGTCCTTCTTCCTACTCAGTTACTCTGTCATCTACCCACCCATTCTCACTCAGTCACCACCTTCTCCCAGTCATTTATCTACTCACCCACTTGACACTCACTACTGTCTGCCAAGACGGATACCCTCTCAACTAATGTACTAATGGGCATATGACTATATCTCAACCAGTATAAGTATAAATATAAGGGAAAGAAAGTGAAATGTATTTTTGAGAGACTCAGTTGAGAGTATATTTGCATACACATGTATGCATCGCTGTATATGAGTGTGTATAGTCTTGCATAAATATGTATCTGAGAATGACTCTGTGTCTGTGTATGAAAGTATATCTATAAAATGTGTATCATTGTATGTGAAGATGTGAGAGTGTATAAATCTTCTGATAAGTTGGGTAGGAGAGGGCCATGAGTGTAAGGTAAACTTTCTGTTGTCACCCTAGGGAGAGTTAGAGCCTCAGCAGAACCCATCCTGAGGCTAAGGATCAATCTAATGAATGAGCCAGATCAAACATATGCATGATAAGAAAAATTTTCAATGGAGGCCAGGATGGGTTACTATAGGTGAGGGATAAGAAAAATGTTGTTTCTCACTCTCAGTCAGGTACTAAATCACAGTAGCTAAATATAATAAGAATGAAACATTTGAGGCCAGATTTATGCTG